CAGCAGCAGCAGCAGCAGCAGCAGCAGCAGCAGCAGCAGCAGCAGCAGCAGCAGCAGCAGCAGCAGCAGCAGCAGCAGCACCCGCGCACGCGCACTCTGCTCAACCAAATAACACGATAAAAATTCTAAAAGTATGAGTGACGCGAGGAAAACTGAAACAATCACTACAGCGTAGTAGAATAATAATATCAGCAGAATAGTGTGCTCGTCGCATGATGCCCGGTCGGATCGCACCCCGTTACCTGACGGGTAGGGGTGCTGGCTACAACCAACACTACTTCTAACACACGGCGCGTTGCACCGTCCGCTATGAAAAATTTGCATAGATTTGTTTGAACGTTGCTGGGGTGCTGCCCGGGGGTGAGGGGTGGCGGTGGGGGGCCTCAGCGCGACCTACATTGCCCCGACGCCACGCCCCATCCTGCGCGCGAAAAGTATAAAATACAGGGGGAGGGCGTGGTGCGGTCGGTGAAGTGGAGGGCTGTCGAGGGAGCTCCAGAGAAGAATATGGGGGGAAAAAATGGAATACGCCGGCGCAGCGAGTTTAGTGGGAACAGCGAGGTTGTCCGAGTGCTTTGCGGCCGCCTGCTTGCTCGGCGCCGCTGCTGCCGCGGGCGGTGCGAGTAGCCACCGAGGGAAGGCGGTGGTGAACTCAACCACTGCAAATATCTCTTTTGAAAGGGTGATGACTCTTTGCCTGAGTTTGGCCTCCCCTTTCAGAAAATTATTTGTAGTTTTGTTCTGGAAAATTTCCTATGAGAAATGTTGTTACTTGTTACACACACAATGAAGTGTGCACCTAAATCTGTCATATACTTAACTTGTTTTGTGGTTAGTCATTTGTCAGTGGTTGGTTTGCACCGTGTCCTCAGTGAAGTCTTAATCCTGAAGTGCATTCAAAAATTCAATTAAAGACAACTAAAGTTGAAAGTGTTACTGTTCGATCACTATTTTAAATTGTATTTTACACAATTCTTATGCGACACTATGTCTAAAAAGATGTTTTCCACAGTGCCCACAGCTTGCGAGTTTGGAACGCCCTCCGCCGCCGAAGAAGACAAGGAAAACTAGGAAGTGGTGCTGGTTTTCTCATCGTCCATCCCCTTCTTTATCAGCAGCACCCTCGCCACCCTGCGCGCAGAGAGGACCGCCGGGCGCGCGGGCGGGAAATTCAAACACGACGACGCCAGCAGAAAGTGTATATATATGGAAGGGCGCTCGAGATAGTGTTAAGCTCATTCCTTGCGGAGTTTATCCATGATTTGTGGCGGGATGTTTCGAAAGTCTGGAGGAAGTAATTAATAGCCGGCAGCACTCTGCTCCCCTCGGCCTCGCCGCCCGCGGCCTCCCCTGACGGCCGGGGCCGGGCCCGGGGCCGGCGGAGGAGTTGTACGAAGCCGTGACATCGCTCATCTGTCGCTTTCAATTCAACCCCCTACCCACCCTTAACACGCCCCGCCCCACCCCGCCCCGGCCTGCGCCATTCAGCCCCCATCAGCACCATCATCCTCACACGCACCGCAGAGAAGTAAAGAGACAAAATGAGTCGGTTGGCGCCCGCTTGGCGCCCCATATTCACTCTCTTTTTCGTAACTTTTTTTTTCACTTCATTTTAACGCCCATAGCTTCGTGACCGTAGTTGCTTCGCAATCCCCAAACCCATAAGGTTTGACACACTTAGCGCAGAGCTCATACGATGTTCCTTCTTCATAAGTCCACATTTTATTGTTAGCAGCCTAATATGTATAAAAGGTCAAATTTGTTCCTTAGTCATTGTTTTCGTGCCCATTCAGACCGAATGGAATTTTGTTCCTAAGACTGGACAAATTGTGTGAAGCTTCACATAATATGTTCAGCTTTTAGGAACAGAACTGCCTCCGGTCTGAATGGGCACGAAACCGTCGCTGACATATTTTTGAACAAAAGTGTCCACTTTGGTCTTCAAACATATTTTAGCAGATTTACATATACAAAGGTGCGCGAGAGGGGTAGTATTTTTAGTCACAAAAATGAAAAACTACTTATTTATTTTGTTTACAAAAATTTACAAGATGCACTGTCTTCCTCTCTCTGTTTTCGTCGCTCGACCCCGGATAGTGAAAAACCTTCCACAATAATTCTACTCAATTCATGCCACCCCCCCCTTCCCCCTCCTCCCGGGTCATTACCAACAGCTCTCGCGGTTCCTGCGGACAAAGGCAAGAAAATCCCCCACGGCGCCACCTGGCGTCGCGGCGCGTCGCGGCCGGGCTAGCCTGCCTCTCGCTTATTGTTAGCCTCCCCTTTCCACCCCCTACGCCAACCCCTACCCGCCCGCGCCCTTTCACTTTCCCCTCTCTTCTCCAGCCTTCTCACCCTCGCACCGGCTCGGCCACGCTTCCCCGCACCAATGACTATACTTCACCAAACTCCATTCTCAATGGCGAATAATCGATCCCCTTTGTTAAGTAATCCAGCCATCAAGATGTGCGGCGGTGGGGCGGGAAGGGGTTGCGCGGGGGTGGGACAGACATACTCTGCAGTGCGCTCGCGGAGGGGATATTATTCATTTGCAGAACGACCAAACTTACAAGAGCTATAGTGAGTGACAAACGTGTTTCACAAACGGAAATATTTACGGCTGTTTCTTTCTGAAATAATTACACTGAAAAAAAGAACTAGTTGCGGTTACTAGGATCTTGGTGGCAGGTACTAGATAGTTTAGTAAAATAGGAACCACTCCTGGAAACTCAAATGTGATACTGTTCAACAGTTAGAGGTGCAATGACATGAATGAGTATTACACATTTAAGTAGTGCCACACATGCGCACACATGTACAGGGCTTCCAGGGCAAATATTTGTGTGATATACGTGTGGTACTATACTTAAAAGTAGTGTGATAAATGTTGTGCCAAAGGCACTAATTTTTACCCCCTTTTGGGCTGTTAGTGCCCCAGGAAAGTCACGACTTAGCAGCACCTTTATTGTTTTACCAGTGTGTACAACTTTTATTGCATGTTATTACATCTCTTTTTTGATGTTATGCGAGGAGGGATGGGGGGAGGGTTATGTAAGAAAATCCATTTAGAAAATTGTTTTTCTAGCGCACCCTCGACGATTTTGCTCTTTGTACTCAGCCGTGACTTACAGGTGAGCGGACCGGCCCCGTCTGGCGAGGCGAAAGGGAGGGGTGTGAGTTGGCCCACTCCTCCGCACCCCTCCGCACCTCGGCCCAGTCCCAGTCGTCGTCCCGTCCCTGGAAGGCGGGCAGGCGATACGGAGCCTGACGGAGCAAACACATCATATAGCGCAAACATACGTGATTGGCGCCATTCTGGAACCCTGCCAGATGAAACCACCCCCCGCCACGCCCCTCCACGCCCCGCCACGCGCCGCCACGCCCCCCTTCGGACTGTCGCGCCCCGCACCCGCCCTCCTCCTTCCTCCTTTTATGCTTTTCTTGTCCCTTTTGTTATTGAATCTGCTGCAGCGCCTCTTGCGCCCCTGCCAGAATGGACGTCACCAAATACGAGTTTATCGGAGTTTATAGTACACAGGCGGATGATCACGTTCAACCAACCCCAGCGCGATTAAACGACTTTTTTCTTTGCTCTGCTCGACTCTGCTGCTCTTTCTCCTCTTTCTCTTTTTTTGCCGTTTTTCTTTATTTTATTACAACTTTTTCACGCGACATCGAGTTTTTGGTGTTGTATCGGGCCACGCCAGAAGACCCATGCACCATACCCTGGACCCGACCCAGCTCGCCTAGCGCGAAAAATAAAAACGAGCCCTGCAAAAATATTAGATTTTGCGTTTGCCAATCACTGTGAAAAATAGTCGTAAGGCTACGGGAAAATTTTCCATAGTAAAAGTCGTAAAATTACAATTTGAAATTGTAAATTTACGGGCACTGCCTATCGACTTGGAATTGACCGACGAGCAAGAATGGGCTATCTTAAAAATACGACTCATTTTGTCAATCAAAATTACAACAAATGTCGTAAATTTGCGAGTATTTTTCACAGTGATTCTTTGCGAGGCGGAATAATATGGTAGCACAATGAATTTTCTCTGCGTCACCTCCTACTCTGTTAAAATCGATTGAAACCTTACGACGAAAAATGCCAATTCCTTCGTAGGTAGGAAGGATTTTTGTAAGCTTTCGTAGGTAGCAAACCCTTCGTAAGTCCGAAGGATTTGGCATTTTGCTTCTTAAGGTGTTCACTGTGTACGTACAAAACTATGGTAGAGTTGCAGGTCCTGAAAAATAATAGCCAGTGAGAGGCAAGGACTGCACAGTGTCGCCGGGCTGGGCTGGGCCGACCTTTCTTCTTTATGTTATTGATTGTTTCTCATAGCTAGTTCGGTTCCTGCTCCGTTCGCCCGCCCCCAATGTTGACCCGATCAAAAATAGATGCGTCGAAACAAACAAACGCGCACCAAAGTAATATTACTTAGGCCATATGCCCCCTCCCTTTCCACCCTGTGCCCCTTTCGTCCCCGGGGGTCGCCAACTGTCTCGCACTCGGCCAAGTTTGGCACAAACTCCTCCGTAGAGGTCCGAAGGTGCGTGTCAAAAAGTCATATAGTTCTGGGAATTGCGCCAGATCGTGTTTGCAGCATCATATATTCATCGGTATTCCTGTTCCTTCCGTCAGTGCTGCACAATACAGAACATATGATAACGCTGTTTGGTAAAGTCAAGCCTGCGAAAAAATAAAAATCAGACACGCGATAACACTTTTTGCTGTATGTATATTACACCTTGCGGTAATTTCGAGCTGAGGATCTACCCCTCCCTCGAATTTTGGTCGTAAGTGGCTTTGGGCTGGAATGATGCCACTCTTCCCCCGCCCCTCTCTCTTCCAGAATCACAAAGTACGTGCCTGCACCGACGTTGCCTTTTTTTTCACGTGTACTGTTTATCAAAACTTTTCGAATCTCCCGAGGCTCGAGCGGAGCGGGCGGGCGGGGCAGAGGCTGTGTTGGTGGTGGCTGCTCGCTGCCGGGGTGGACTGGAGGCTCTGGTGGGGCGTGGCAGGACAGGGCGGG